TTCCCTCCTTCGCACCGCTTGACGGAGGCCCACCTAACCTCTCGTCACCGGGTGCCACCGTAGCACGCCAGCCCCTCCTCTCCCCAGAGACTCTGAAACAGCAGCCCTTGACCCAGGGACACCGAAACAGACACTGTGTGGGTAGAAGAGTTGTAGAGGACCCAGCGTTTTGCAATTGGATAACCCCCCCAACCCCCCCCCCCGAATAAAACCTCTTCACTCTGGTGTGCCGTTGGTGGTTTCCTTTCTCGCTGGACAGCTGGATCTGATCTGCCGGCAGGCAACCCTTCCCAAGTTCACTCTCTCACACACACATCCAGTTGTGAGTCCCCAAAATAGACTGCCTCGAAACGAGGATGCCGGATTGCAGCTGAAAACTCGCACAATCCAGATGTACCTGTTTCCCGTAACAAGTGGGAGCTGAAATCCCAAATTATCCACTGGGGAAACTGGGTTTAAAGCTAGTGACCGTGTTTTCACATTGAGCAGGGGTCTTCAAACCTGGCCCTTTTATGACTTGTGGACTTCAACTCCCAGAATTCTGGGAGTTGAAGTCCACAAGTCAAAAAAAGGGCCAAGTTGGAAAGACCTTTCCCAGAATTCCTCAGCCAGGCACGCTGGCTGAGGAATTCTGGGAGTTGGAAGTCCACAAGTCATCAAAGGGCCGAGTTTGAAGACCCCTGGCGTTGAGGATCAGTTTCACAGGCCAAGCAAAGAGAGAGAAGACACACAAAACAACACACGGCAAAATTAGAAGTGTTTTTTTTTCTATTCACCCAAACAAGCATTATTTTACTGCAATATAGCAAAAATATAGGCAATACAGGTTCTTTCGTTTACTGAATGGAATCAGGTCCACATCCTTCTTGGAGACGATAGCTCAGAATCGTGACTTGACCGTTTTGATACAGGAAACAAACAAAAAAAGCAACAAGAAGCAGCCATTTTCCATGGAAGATAAAACCTGCAACATTTCTGTCCTGTCTTAATGTGGATCCCAGGACACCCCAACCCCCAAATGAAAGGTTCCCCCTTTTAGGTCTTGGAAAACCTTCGCTGATGAAGTACGCCTTTCCCGTTTCACTTCGGCTGGATGGGATCTAAGATGACTATGACTGCCCAAGTGGAAAGGCCTGAAAAGACACAAAAACAGTTGTCGGCAAAGGGAGCGCAATCGCAGACTGATCACTTGTGTTGTTCCGCAAAGAATTATTAGCCCCACCTCCCAGGGATGGACAGCTATACAAATCCAATGCCATAATCATTGATAATATATTGACACTTAAGATAGTAAAAATATTTTGAAAATATTACAGGCCAAGTTGGTCTGTAGTGGGGAAGCTAGAAACCAGGAGACTGGGAATTCTAGTCCCACCTTAGCCACGAGAGACAGCTGGGGGACTTTGGGCCAATCACCAGGAGACGCTGAGTTCTAGTCCTGCCTTAGGCATGAAAGCCGGCTGGGTGACTTTGCATCAATCACCAGGAGACGGTGAGTTCTAGTTCCATCTTAGCCATGAAAGCCGGCTGGGTGATTTTGAGCCGTTTACTAGGAAACAATGAGTTCTAGTACCATCTCAGGCATGAAAAAAAACTGCTGGGTGATTTTGGGCCAATCCCTCCCTCTCAACCCAGCCCGCCTCACAGGGTTGTTGTGGAAAAGAGCAGGAGAAAGACGCATTGTCTGCTGCCTAGAGTTACTTATAAAGTAATAAAGGAGGGATGAAAAAAATAAAGGAAAAATCTAATAAATAATAACAGCCTCGTATTTCTGAATAAAAAATCTTATTCCGAAGGCGCTAGTCCTCGTGATACAGACACTAGACACCTTTCCACCCCCCCTTATTTATAAAAATAATCAAAGGCGGGGATACCACCAATACAATCCTGGCTAATCATCTTAATATTCAATTCTTGCGGGGGAAGGCTGCCGCCTGGTGGCCGAGCCGCGTCATTGCACCCCCTGCAAAAAAAAAACAAACCTCCAGGCGGGGAATGAGCTCCGCTCTGCAACTAAAAAGGCGTTGCACGTGTCAACCTTGCACGTCCGAATCTTCCCCACCCTCCACCCCGGTTACCGATGGCGAAAGCCAGCCGGAAGACGTCGAAGACCGTCCCGGGCCTCCTTTGCCGCAAGGACCGGCGGACGCCCATGTAGACCCAGACCCCGGAGGCCAGCAGCCCCCCGCCCGTCAGCATGCGGCAGCTGAAGCAGGACCAGAAGGCGGACTTCTTGGAGGCCGCCGGGGAAGAACCCGCCACAACGCCGCCCCCGGGCTGGGCCGCCATGAGCCAGATGGCCGCGCCGGAAGCCGCTCCAACCGGATACCGGAAGCGCGGAAAGGAAGGTCGCCGGGGAAGGACAGAAACAAGGGACGTCCGACCTCTATAAACGTCCGGTTGGGCAACGGGGCTCCTTGCCGTAGGTTCCTCCTCCTCCCTCTTACTCCCATCTCTTTTCCTTCCTTCCTTTCTCCTCCCCCTTTCTCCCATCTTTTCCTTCCTCCCTTTCCTCTCCCTTCCTTTCTCCCCTTCTCCCATCTTTTCCTTTCTTTTTCCTTTTCTCCCTTCCTTTCTCCTCCTTCTCCCATTTTTTCCTTCCTTCCTTTTTCCCTTTCTCCTCCTTCTCCCATCTTTTCCTTCTTCCTTCCTTTTCCTTTTCTCTCCCTTCCTTTCTCCTCTCCTTCTCCCATCTTTTCCTTCCTCTCCCTTCCTTTCTCCCATTTTTTCCTTCCTTCCTTTTTCCCTTTCT